ATATCTATGCGATACGGACACCGGGGAGAGTTAAGATGTGGGAAACGTTAATTGCAAAATTTGGACACTGACTATTTCAGAGATCGGACTCAAATTGTCTCTAGCTTACAGCAAAAAGGAAACGTGGAGAGCTGCAAACCTGACTTAGGACTACGACCGCACAAGCTAGTCTTCCCCAAACCATATCAGCGTGCAAAGACTACTAGTTGAAGGATTACAAAGGGGGCCTGGTCACCACCTTGTCCAACTATCTTGACTGTACCAAGTTTTTTTGACTAGGCGGGGAGGTGCATCACCATTTTCGAATTAGAGTCAACGACCGCACCGACAGCTGATTTTCGCACATCCTCGTCTACAGTTGTCAGTAAGTTTCTCCAATGTAGTTGCATTCTCACCAGTTACATCAATAGACGATGAATGCCTCCCTGTTTGAGGATTTTTTTCGGATACAGCACTTGGCGGTAAAACGTCGAGACACGCTTGCGGAAACTCCTAATAATAAATGTGCCAGCACTCTAGTGGGGTTTTCAATTCGTCTCTTATGTGTGGGTTATTTCGTTATGAGGTGGATTGATTGCCTTCTCATTCTAAACCTTTGTGGGCTCTAGCTCTTCTAGAGGAAAGTCCGCGGGCATCGGTTGGCTCTAAATTGTTCCACGAGTTTTTTTTTCAATTCAGCCTCTTTGGCAGCTAACATGGTGCGATTAGTGCTTACCCACTTGTTAGGCATGCGTACGCAACACCCTTTGTGTTGCAGCACTTGGCTGTTACCAAAGCGTAGGATGTGCAACTAACTTGTTGGTTGAGCTGGTAACTGACGACGTGTCGTACTTACTCAAACGGGTATCGAAGGTGACAGAGGATATTGAGTTATTGAGGATATTGAGGATATTGGAGTTATTCAATCCTGTTTTGCCTAATAATACAAAAGTGCTGTCGATGTAGCGCGTCTCTGCGACTTAGAGGACAACCTCTGGGATCAGCCAACTGGGTAACCTATTGGCATGCCTTTACTTGCGAGGAATTTCCAAACCACGGCTTGATAATTGCCCTCTTGAAGATGAAAGTCCTTAAACAGTACTTCCACTGCTCCGTGGCATCTCGTGGTGTAGACCGGTCTTCGGCGCCATGAAGGCCATGTAGCAGGTTATTTATCATTTCGAGTGCGAAGGTTTGCAAAATTGGTTGATCCGCAACACGTAGCCTTTGAAATCAGCCTCTGTTCTTACTACCAGCCCCTTAACTTGCAGCTCTAGCTAGATATTGTATAAACCTTGAAGTACTGCATGAATACTTTCTCCTCCCTGGTAGTAGTGGTAAAGCGACTCGATAGTGAATATATATTTGATTTCCGATACGGATATTTCGACTAGATATGGATGTTGTCCGACGAATGTGTGCTGATAACAAAACAGATGCGCACTGCCTGCATGCACAGCGTAAATCTAGCGCCAGTCAGTAGATGATATCGCCTTT